TACTTGACCGTCTGCTGCAATTGACTCATAGCACGTGAAGCGTCAGCGAAATTCATAGTCCTTCACAGATGGCAGGGGTGTCGTTTGTACAGAGGTCGCTGATGGGCACGAGTCAATGCCGCAGTCGTGGGCGGAGCCTAATGTCATATGACGTAGAAAGCCTCTATCCAGGATGGAAAAACAGTTAACATTACGAGTCAATGACAAGTGCCTGAAATATTGAAATGGCGATAAAATATCTAAATTGTAAAAGTTTCGGCCTGTCTTGAAACGGCCATGTCCTGAGCTTGGTTGAAATTCCTTCACGCATTTAAAAGTAATCGCGAAAAATTAGGGTCTCAAGGGGTCTGGCGTTAACAGTAGTCTATTCCTGAAATGAAACTGTACCATATGTTGAATTGTCATTCATCACAGGCAATAGCCATTGATAGCAGTGTAGTAAGCACTGAATCATCCACTGACCCGGCTATCTTGCCGACCCCAAGCTGAGATGAAAATAACTCAGTCTTATCGTCACGCTAGGCTTATTTTCGACTATGAGGCTATCAGACCACCCCCTTTTGCTATGTTTCATGTCATAGTATCATACCACCGTCTGCTTCATAATCAATCCACCCTACTGCGCTGTAGCTGTACCACGGGGCTCGGGCAGTGGGCGAGCGACGCCTCGCTAATGCTTGTCATTCTACACCGGTTACGGATCACCGGACGTGGATTGGCTGTCACAACACGGGTCGACACTGATTGGTTGGTCGGTAGTGCTAGCAAATGTCGACAGTCAGCTTAGAACAGGAATGGTCACTTGTATGAGAGTACGGTGCCACTTTGAATGGCTCAGTGATGGGGATATGTAAAAACTACAGCACTCGGCATTCTTGGCTGCCAGAGAATGAATTACGGTCCGCAGAACTCTGGACATTGTGTTAGTGCGACTGGAGTGTGTAATTGGCTCGCTGTTCGTTACTATTTGGGCTTTTTTACCGAGCATTGTTGCCCGTCTTTTGCGGTCATAACGGGAGAAACATGGTCTGATTATCCCCGCTCCTTGCCGTCTAGCTTTTCTTGTCCTGATAAGTGACTAGCAACTGACAAGATTTAGCCTTTGCTTGAATTCTTAATATTTTGGTTAATTTTTAAGCGCAGTTGGATTAACGAAAGGGAAATTAAACAAAACGTACTTACATGCAACATAAATGTAACAAAAAATGTCGGAGCAAGAGTCATGGATTTTCTTCAATTGTAGCCCTCAGACAATTGACATCCCCGATCACCAAACGGCACATTTTGATGTGCCATTATTCCCAACTTATCTGCAAACAATGCCACCTTGTTGACGTCAGTACTGGTTATAACCCCAATCAAACGTGCTGGGAGGGAGGACAGGGGCGGGTGGGCGAAATTAGACGATCACTCGCTTAGATTGGGTGTGGGGATGGTAAGGTAAAGAAGGGGAGTTGGAGGAGAGATAGAGAACTAGGACGGGTCGAGGCACGGAAGACAGGAATAAGAGGAGACACGATGAGATAAAATGTCCGGAAAGGCCTATCTTGGAACTAATAATGCGGTGCACCTTGCACTCAGAAAGTGCTTTGCTCTGTTTATTGCACTTCTTAGCGACAAGTAGAAAGGTAATAAGGAACTGTCACTAAGCCGGCAGTAGAGGCAGCTCAGCGAATTTTTTGGATTGAGTATGTTACCGAACATTGATCTTCCTATTCATTATAAGCAATACATATAGGACCTATCTACAACAAAATATGTAATATTTGCACATATTGCAGATTTAACCTTCGCCCCAGTGGGGCTTGGGGTAGCTTTTGGTACATCAATTTTGGACAATGTGTGAAATTTTTGACCCCAGGTCATGTCAGGTCAGGTCACCAGGTCAAGTTAACTGACCAAGCCTAAAAAAGTTTGCAATCATGTCCAGCCTGCAGTGTTTGTCAGAAAGGTTTGAAACTTGGTGGATTGCATGCTGTTATGGGCGCCTACAATTTGTATATCTCGGATTTTTATATCCCTGACCTAAGGTCAGGTCAGTGGCGTGACCTTTCCATTACAAGTCAATGGAGAAAAATGAAAATGCCTCTAGATCCGTGTGCACGCATAGGAACAGTCCAAATATTTCAGAATCACAATGATTTAGTCCACTCGTGATGACCAAGGTGTCATTTTTGCTGATAGCCTCTAGAAAGGTCATCCGAGGTCATTTGAGGCTACAAACAGTTTTTTTGCCAATAACTAGCGATTGGAAACAGATAGAACGCTGGGGATGGTCTCATTGTGTTTGTCTTGTTGAGACGCATCGACTGATATGCAACATGACCTTTTCTGGTCAGGTCATGACCTTGACCTGAGGTCAAAAGGTCAGCTTATAGTTCATTCGACGCGTCTCGGCGAGGGGAACACGATTCTGGCAATAGAAATGTCGTGGCTTTTTGTAGTAGAAAGTTATCGTCGAAAAACACTTTTCGTAAAAACAGCTATTTTTGGAGTTTTTGCCCTCTGGAGGCTAAACCGTTGACCTGAGGTCAATATTGATACTGACCTTTTCAAAAGAAGAGTTCAAAAGCTATCGATTGCTCTTCAATGCGTTTTTCTAACTACCATAGTTCCTGAGATAGCGGCATGTTTTCTGAAAAATATAATGACAATTGGCAAATTTTGACCTTTGATGACCTCTGGTGACCCCAATATTGCTCTAAGGTGAAAAATGACTGAAATACTTTCAAAGGTACGCATTGCGAGCTATCGAATGCTTTTGACCGCGTCTTTCTAGCCCTCTTAGTTCTTGAGTTGGAGGTGGGTGGTAACATATGCCCCCCCCCCCCCCCCACTAGGGCGAAGTTGGCTGAGACCGCCACTGGGGCGCGGGTTAACCTTTACGGGCAAGTTGTCACAATGAGTATGACAGCGCAATTTGCTCGATGCATGTTTGAACAATGCGATAAGTCACGCTAAAACCGGGCGCAATTTGTGTTCAGAGCAGTTGCATTGTTGCCGACATGCTGTACTGATTGTGACATTAGATACCACATCTATTCGAAGAGGAGCGTGCTAGCGTTAAAATGTCTGTCAAGACAAAGACAAGACTGACGAAAACATGTAATAGCCAATAGCCATCTTACAATGGATATGTTTGATATGTGAAATAAGTAAATAAATAGATAAAGGGAAACTTGCTGAATAGCGGATTAGGTATCTGTGCCTATTTGTTATACTTGACTACTGCCTATCTTATTCATGCGGGAGATAATATGGCAAATGAAAGTAGTTATCAAGGGTTTGTTGTTATCTTTGGAATTCGCCATTTTTATTCGGCATGATCATTTGACCCCTTGGGTTATAAACGGTGGTGATCGTTTATTCTCCCGCCTGATTGGAATTTTAGCCTTTTGGTCGTCTTTGGCCACGTAAAGTTCAAAACTGTAACACGTCCAGATTAGATTGCTCGGCAGATGAAAAGCCGCGATACACTTTACACTCGCCTCCCACGCCTTGTTGCTGCAGTGACATCAGTGGCGAAAGTGTCTCCAGATATCAGTTGTAAACAGGTCGCTGGAACAATCAGTTTGGGCGTGGGGCTGCAATGCTTTCGGCGATATGTATGATGTGTATACCAGAACTGTGAATTGTCGGTCGGTGCGTTTGGTGCGGGCAGTTGTTTCTTGGGAGTGGTGGGAGGCGGTCTGAGGAAGAGTGCGCTGTGTGTGTGAGAGACTCAAACCAGTCCGGCATCATGAGCAGACTTCTTAGCGCCGGGTGCAGTGGCTTTCAGTCGCTCGCATCGTTCGTGATGCAGCACCACTCCATGGCAAATAAGGTACCTATTTCGGGGAGCGCTCCCAATTTTGCATCGCCTGTCAGACTTGTTTCAACATATTGCATGACTTCTAGCTCCGAAATGCTACAAATCTATCATATGGAGTTAATTGCGATGGTAATCTTGATGGTTTCCGGGCCAAATACGTGCTCTAAATGGATAACAGGCAAGATTTATTGGCGTGGCGCCATAAGTAGCTTAGCTTGAGTTCTCAGAAACGCCTGCACCAACAGTCATGTCGGCGTTTTCCAAGGGGTAACATGATCATGTCCGCCACATAAGTTTAACACGACACTAAGTGAGTCGTGAGGTAGGCGTGCGTCCCTCACCTGTCGTGTTCGTAGTGACGCGTTCAATTCATTATTCTCGAGGATTCGGAAGTCAGAGGTTAGCCGGCAGCTTAGCAAGACCTGGGTCAACATTGACCTGATGAGACTAAGGAAAACCTACCCATTCCTATCATTTTCGATACGCTCAACGCTGACGTTGTGGCAGCTGACTTTGTGATAGCTGATAAACCCAGTTTTTCTATGCATTGTAAGCCGGTTCGTAGCAGGCTATTCCGATAACAGACCCGAACTGAAGCGAGGCGACTGAGAAAGCCACCAGAGTGGAAGATAATCCGAGAACCGCGGCCCGGAGGCAGTAGATAGCTTATGAATTGTGCAAACGCCGATGAATGTTGATCAAGGCAGCGGTGGATGGAAGCCCTTCAGTCCGGCTTTGAATCTGCTTAGCATTTGTAAACGGGATCCTGATGATATAAATGCATGGTGTATGTAGTTGTTGGCTTTTGTCTATTATGGGAAGTTCTCACAAACTGCCTGTGTTCATTTACCGATGACCTGAACTAAGCTCGAAGAACAACACAAAACAGAGCCTTGAGTATGTGTTTTCGAAGTAACTCGTTATCTTTACCGGCGGTAAATAAACTATTCACAACAAATAATTATTCAATTCGGATTGAAAAGCGGCGGTCAAACTCAAGGGTGCAATGCACGTCTTCACTAAGTTAGAGGTAACAACGCTTTTATTTTCGTTTTTTTATACAATCTCTAGCAATACAATATCAAAATAACGATTTTTTCCAACTTATGTTACCTCTGCCCTAACAGCACCTCTTATTTTATGACTCCAACGCCGTCCCCATCTGACACCAGTCCTCCTTGCGTTTCAGTTCCGCTCTCGGGACGACTACCGCAGCTGGTTGGGCGTGCTGCGTGCCGGCTCCGGCCAACAAACCGATGACACCACCAGTGACGTCAGCAGTGACGTCACTGACGAGAAGAATTCTGTCGGCGACGTCTCTGAGAAGAAGGTTTCGGTGTCGTATGGAGAGAACAACACCGTCAACATCAGCTATGGAGGTACCGCTGAGTCGGAGAAGTTGCTCTCTTCTAGCGGAGGAGGTGGTCTGGAGTTTGAGACCTGGGAGGTGGCGGAGGCTGCTGACGATTCCACAGATGGCGCTGCTGTAGACCTCGGCGAGGAAGCGTGTTCGGACGTCAGCGATCAGCTTATCACAGGTTTGGACGCTCCCGGGCTGGCGGCGAGCCGCGGAGGCGGACCCATCTTCTCCCTGGACGATATCAGGTCCAACACTCCCCCACCGGCGTTCGCTGATCAGCCGGTGCCACCCAACTCGGTCCGCTGGGACCTGGAAATGCACTCTCCGGACCTCCATCGGACCCCTGCGCGGGGATCCACCCTGGGATCCCGCTGGGGCCGGCCCGCCACGCCCCCCGGCGGCCGGTTCCGGCGGAGGTCCGTCTCCCCTCCCGCTTCTCTGACCTCCAACGGAGGCGGAAAGACCTCAGTTCGGGGCTCCTCGGGCGCAGCAGCCGCCTGCGCTCGGCAGAAGCTCCGCTCTGTAGAGACGCAGACCGACTCTGGCAAGTTCGGTATGCGTCGAGCCGGCTCGGAGTGGGCGCTTCTGGAGCGCAGCGCGCAGACGGCTAGTATCCGTTCAGAGAGAATCCGCCGTGCCGCGCAAATGTTTGAGGAGATCGCACAGGCGGAGCGCGCCGCCGCGCTGGCGCTGTCTCCCCTGCCGCGCCGGCCGGCGCCGGAGGACAGCCCGGAGCCGGAGCCGGAGCCGGAGCCGGCCGTGGAGCAGGAGCGCCGCTCTCAAGTGGCAGCCAGTCGATCTGTGGACGCCATTGTAGCGCTCGGTGGGCCGGAGGGTGAAGACTCTGACAGAGATGAGGAGTCGGAGGAGCTGCTCTGGCTCAGGGTCAAGACCAAGATCGCTGAGCGACGACAGAAGTTCCATCAGCTGGACCTGACAGCTCGCGGCGGGGGTGAGACGACGGAGGAGACCAGGCCGGCCCAGGTGGCGCCACCGTCTCCGCTGCCGGCGCTCAGCCGTCCGGTGCTCGGGTCTTCCCTGTCTGAATCAGAAGGAGCCTCCTCGCCAGTGACCTCGGGGTCACTCGGAGATGACCTGGATACGTCGGGCTCGACAGGAGACGGGTCCGATACGCTCCGATGCTGGACCGGGAAGTACATCGAGCAAGACGAGGAACAAGAGGTAAGAACACATTTGCTTAGTTTTGTTCGTAACGAATTGTAAATCCTGGCATTCCCCAGAATTTAGCTGCAGGAATTAAAACTCAATGTTTTTGCTTGCTTTAAGTGATGCATAAATGCGTCCGTGTTTTTTTTTATACATTCTACAGAACGTTCCTACCAAGAAATGTGACGTCCGTGGTACCGCCGTCTGCAAATGCTAAGAAGGTTATCGCCATAGTCATCAGCATTCAGCACTGTCTGGCACACTGGGCCACAATGACGCAAAAAGTCGATAAGATTTATTCTGAAAGCACAACCTCAGCATCGTAAGACCCGCTACCCGAATAAAGCCAATGCTGAGCTGCTCTTTCTGGCGACCTCCTCGCGACTCTGTCTGGATATGAGAACAGGCATCCGACGCTACCATCATCCACCATAGCGGACGGTAGCCGCTCGCTCAGCCGCGGCCAATAAGGCCCAGAACGGCATCTCCCGGCCTCGTCATCATTGCTGACGGTCCGGCTGACCTGGTGACCTTTTCGCTGTCGCCGCCGCCGCTCGGCCCGGTCGTGTCAGCGCCGCCGGGTCGCTGTCGGTCGGGGGAGCAACTCGCGGCCTCTGGCTCGCCGGGCAGTGGCCGTCCCCCGCAGACGGCACGTCGTAAACACGGACCGACCGCTGCGAGCGGCTCCCTTTGTCGTGAACGACGCTGACCGCGGCAGAGTGCCGGAGGAGAGGCAGAGCGGTGCGGAGATTAGTGGAGATTGAGCTGAGCTGGAAATAGGACGCCATCGCGGCCCGGGGCTCAAAGGCGCCACTTGAAGTCACAGTTGGGGCTATTTTAGGCTGCGGAGGGGAATATATCACACGATATATGACGGTCGCAACGGTTATTTGGTTTGGTGACTGCGAGACTTCGTCTGAGCATCCCTGTAGATCAAGCTACAGTGTCGGCATTCGCAGGAACGATTGTTGTTTCTTAGGAATTACAGTCTGTTCTTTGTATGTCATCCCTTGCCTGCTGCCGTGCTTCACTGCTTATGCTTAACTAGTTTCTGCTTATAATTATGACCTCGCTACTTCTTTTCCGTATTCAGGTCCTGCGCCGCCTGGGTAACCCCGTGCTGGCGGAGCAGAAACTCAACATGAAGCTGAAGACTCGAACCAGGCTGGAGGCCGGTCGGGCGGAGAGCGAGCGGCAAAAACAGCGGATTCAGGAGCAGAGGGATCAGACCCAGCTGAAACTGGACCAGGTCAAGGCCAAACTCACCCGCGACGGAGCCTTCGAGAGAAAAAGGTACGGTGATTTACCGGCTGCTCATGTCCTCAAACTGGGTCGACGCTTTTTTCAGCTGCCGTCTTGAATGGTCCGATACCAATGGTCGTGACGGGTGTCATGTCTGCTATTTTCTTTCAAATAGAAACACCGCAAAATCCTCTCCATACTGCTGCTCACGAAATGTGGCATTAGGTACTTTTGTAAACTTGCTGCTTTTTCAGAAGTTTTACGCAATAACCATTTTACGCTACTCAGTATACTTGTGTCTATGAGGCAAACTGATTTGTTTTTGACCGATTGTGGTACTACATTGACCATTCTTCACAATATCTTTCAATGTGAATTTAAAGACAAAATAAACGAAGTAAACATATTATTTATTGATTAAGAATTTGAGCGTTATATAAAAAATTCTTTGGCCCCTATTCCTGATTTTAAATAGCTTTTTTCGTCTACTACTTTTCTGTTTTCGTCTGTCGCTCACATTAGGTCGCAGTTGGAGAGTTTCATTAAAACTAAGGAAATTGGGCGTCTGTCTATGGCCAATAAACCGTCTGGCCAGTTCCATTTGCAGTGCTGGTAACGACGCCCGCCGCAGTTATCCGCACCTGCCTATCTTCATAAGGCTCTCCAACTCGGGTCCGGTCGTGGCCCGGTCCCCTGGGGGAATAGAGAGAATGCCAGAGAGCATTGGATTTGCTGCCCCATGGAGACTGGAGAGGACTGCAATAGCCAGAATTATTGTTTTGTAGCTAAACAACGATGCAGTCTGTTCTCTTATGTGACCAATAACCAAGCATGATCCGCAATGTCTTAGATGACACATTTTCCTTCACCTAGGTATTGTGAAATTGTGCGAGTAATATATTAATGTGCGTAAAATACCAATATTATCTGAAACAAAGCGGACAATTATTCATTATTCATGCTCCAATGCTGAATAAAGCGTTCGTCTATGAGAAGCAATTTGCAGCCCATTCAGAGTAGAATACTGGATTGGAAGGGAGTGAGAAATGCATCGGCAATGAACTTGAATAACGGACACTAACAGGGCTCATCAGGAGCCAATGAGCTGCTCAAAAATGTTCGGCATCAAATATGAATGCTAATAGAGAGTAGAGATTGTTCTTACGATGTAGTGACTGAAGACACGTTTAATGTGAACGAAACGTGCTTTTGTGAAAAAACGATGAAATAGACAAACCATTTGCTTTGCTTAGGTGCAACATAGCAAACAGCTCACTTTCTCGCAAACAGCTCACTTTCTCGCAAACAGCTCACTTTCTCTCTCCCTCTCTCCCTCTCTCTCTCTCTCTCTCTCTCTCTCTCTCTCTCTCTCTCTCTCTCTCTCTCTCTCTCTCTCTCTCTCTCTCTCTCTCTCTCTCTCTCTCTCTCTCTCTCTCTCTCTCTCTCTCTCTCTCTCTCTCTCTCCGTCTCTCTATTCTCGTAATCTCTTTCACGCCCGTTCCCCAGCCACTACCATTTGCGGCGCGAAATCCTTCGCCAGGGCTTTGCGGCACAGCCTAACATCAGGCGCCGACCACTAGTGACACCTATCGGCAGGAATAGCAAACAGGGCCACTGAACGGCGGACGGGATGGACCAGGATGAAACGCCGTCCGTCCACTGATGATCTTGCCGTTTCCTTGTCGGCGAAAGCTTAGAAATAAAGTTTAAAATTTAAACCCTTGTCATTGACTTGCACTTTGCAGTCGATGTTTATATGATTACTAGAGCTTAGCTTAGCTATGCATTTGGTTATCTTTGGTGCATGCTGATAGTAGCACGACGTATGATAGCTTCGCTGCTTGACCTATGATGCTTGACTTATGATGCTTCGTTTTGACTATCTACAGCCTAGCATTGACAACTGGCTTCTTATGCTTTGAAAATTAAAGTGTTCCATATGCTGTTCTAATGTAACCTATTGATGACTAGACTGGGTCTGTCATAAAATCGCGGCAGAAACGCTAAACACCCCCCTAGAGAGGTAGCTCTGGTTGGGATTTTCAATAGAAAATCACAATTCTAAAGAATAGTGATTGTCTAATTGAAAAGTCCCAACCTTCGGATACCCTTCCTCTGCCGCTCTGGAAATTTTTGCGCCATCTGTCACCTCTCCTGTCCTTTTCCCGCCCATCTGACAGGCAATCTGCTCTGTCGGGAAATATTATCGATGTGGAGTGGTGGCGCCGCCGGTATAACCTCTCTGACCGGCTGCAAAGGCACCGCCCGGTCCCTGATAAATGCGGCCGCAGCTCATCCCCATCGACCCGGCGGGGTGGCAGTCAGTGCCGGGAGCGCCGCCTCATCTCCCCGGCTGATCGCAGCCGTCACTGCCTCCTCCGTCATCACCCCCCCCCCCCACCCCTCACCGTCCCCAAGGTCACCTCCCGACCCCCTGGTTTGTATCTCAATGACGTCATCCATATCGTCCCGAGGCAGCCGCTCTCCGGGCGGGCATTCGCTAATGGTGCGTGCTCCCTCGCCAGATTGGAAACCGTACTGTATCGGCTGGACCAGAGCATCCGCGAGGAGCAGCAGAGGCTCTCTCAGCTGACACGCCGAATCGCCGAAACCGACGGAGACATCGAGGGCCTGGAGCGCCGGCTGAGTCATCTGGTGGTGGAGTCGGATACTAGAGCTTTGCCCCTCTCCCCGCTAGAGTAACATTAGTGGTGTGGGAGTGGAAAGCTGGTGGAAAGGCTCTCTGAGCTCGGTGCGGGTGTGGTTGTGGGGAGGTGGGCCTGTGAGGTGCCATGTGATTTGTCAGTCCGAATGATATCTGTGAGAGTCATGTGTACAGATCAGGTGATTTGTATTCGTAAGTCGAGAATGTTTTCAACAAGCCTATGAATTTGTGTGTCCTGTTTTTATGTGATCACTGATTAAATTGTCGAAAGGCACAGTGTGGCGATTATTCCTAAGATGTGTAATGTCTGTAGTTTGGCTATGTATATTACATTGGAGACCTGTAATCAAGAAAGGTATTTTATGTGAACGCACTCCCAGCTTATTTTTCACATTTTTTTTCTTGTTCCGTCCTTTCACTGCATGATCAATTGCAAACAAATTTTCAGGCTTTCTTGAATGACTTGTCGTGTCCTCGTGATTTTATCTTTACTACGTGTAATTTGAATGTTGGTGAAAAGCGCTTGTCAATGTGTGATGATCTGTGGGCTTGGCTTTCTCAACCCTTCATCGGTTATGGACATTCGTCTGGCTCGCCGTTTCACAATGCGCTTCGAAAATTTGAATATATTCACGACTGTACATGCGTATGAAGTTGTCATTAGATTGGATCAACCAATCCCAACATTTCTAGACGTGGATAGGTTACAGCATGTCTACGATAATGAACAGGCCATATTTTACGGTCCATCGTTGTAAGAAGGCACCACTTTCCCGCAGTCATTCGACAATCGACACGGTACGCTGTTGATCTCACAAGCAGCTCTCGTCAGCATTTAGAAACTAAATATATTGGGATTCTTGTCAATATAAACATTGTTCACGATCAACCAGAAAATATTGCTATATATACAGGAACAAGAGACTATAAATTAGTGATAATTATTTTAGTTAAATATTAACTTTTGCAAATAATGAACAGAAGAAAACATGTGACTTTTTGCACAGCAAAATAATAAATCATAAATCCATTGCTTTTAAAAAATAAGAAACATTTCAATTGATAGAAATGCATATCATAGGGCTAAGTTTGGCTACGGAAAAATTAAAGTTTAGACTGAAAAGCGAAAGTTCCGTTTTCAATGTCTGAAACATAAAAGTGAATGTTCAGTAGTATTGCGCCTGGTCATCATCTAAAATACTTGTAATATATACTGTAAAAATATACATCATACGGATTACAAGGCACAATGTTGGCCGCCCGAGGCACGGGTTTAGGAAAAAGAACACCACTTGAGAAGCATCCATAGCGCACTGTACCGTACCGCGCCACCCTCACCACTTAACGAGTCTATGTCATATATAGAGTGCAGCTCCGGTTCATCGTCATCTCAAACTCTGCGAACGTACTCAATTAACCGAGAGCTCAGTTGAGTCTGAAGAGCTCACGTCTACACCGTGGCGTAGATGACAAGGACAGAGGCGCCCTCTAACATTCCCGCACAGACTTTATACAGAAGCCCCGTTTCCATGACACTTCTGAATCCGGATTAGCTCCGAATCCGGATTCAAACGACCATGGAAACGGCACATTTCGCGTTGGAGGATCGGATCGGGTAATCCGGATTCAAAAAGAAGATTAGAGAGGCCGATCCCACTTTGGCAGCATATGGCAGCACTATTCCCTTGGCGGCAGGCGGCGCCGCCGCCATTTTGAACTGAACGTTTCGGCGCCAGTTTTGGTCTGCAGGCTAATGAATTTGCTGCAATAATTGGGATAAATTTTCTTAACCAATTGTTACAAAGCACGGCAGAAACTTACATGGTCGCAAGAGGAGACGACAGACGACACTACACACTCAGCACTCAGCACACCCATGTCCATTGTCCACCCTCCCCGAGCGGCACCGCACGACACTAGGGACGCGCCAAGGTCGCGCGGTCTCCCCTACCCGCCGCGGCGGGGACCCTCGCCGCCGGCCGTACAGTCTCGCCGCTGGCCGGGTACAGGCTCGCCGCCTGCCGTACAGTCTTTGACACTGACAGCGTGGTCGCTGAATCCCAGTCGGTAGTCTCTGCGCACAAACGGTGGCACAGATCTCTGAAAAGACACAACTTACCGCTTGATTCGCATTAGCTTGAGAACGTTATGAAGGGAATTATGAAGTAAATCGCCGCAGCGCGCCAGTTACGTCTACCAATCCCGGATTAGAGAAGCCGATCCGGATCGGCCAATCCCGGTGCGAATCCCGTTTCGGGAGGGATCGGTCATGGAAACGGCACTGCTAATCCGGATTCGCCGATCCGGATTCGCCGATCCGATCCTGTCCGTAGTGTCATGGAAACAGGGCTAGAGAGGGCGGCTCGGATCCCCGGCTCCGCAGCCTTGTGGACGGATAATCGCGATTACGAATCTCGTGAAACACAATCAGCATCGCGTGCCTCAAGATCACGACCTCGTGATCCGAAATAGGATCGGCCTGACCTCGAAACGGATCATAGTGGTCCCAGGTCAACAGTACGGACCATCAGCTCCACAAACTGATCCCGTCTGGCTCACGAATCCCCCACGCGAGCTCACTCTCCCGTCAGTCCCCCGCGATGCAGTCTCCGCCCTAGCTCTGATGCTGTTTATACTCGGGACCCGGCGGTGGGTAGTCGACCGACTCGAGCTGACGCTGCTTCTTACGGTCGTTCCAGCGCAGGCACTCGTCCAGGGAGTCGAACCAGTCGGTGATCTGGTCGGACGAACAGATAGAGGGCACCGGGAACACGGACGTCGTCACCCGCAGACTGAGGGGTGAAATAGAGACTGTCAGGGCATGGGAGGGGTTGAGTGTGGGTCGTAAGGGCGCTCAGCGGTCATTGTTACGGTTAAAAACAAGTGTAGTTCGAATCGGCGTATGCTAGTGTCTGTTGATACCATCATTACTATATATTATATTATGCCATATTGGCAAAAAAGCTGGATCTGCATCTTGTACGTATCCAAAGATTGTTCAGTTATACTACTGAAACACAAAACATGCAAAAGCAAATAACTACAAACAACATCAGGCTACATTGAACCAGCATGCAGTTATGAGATAAGCAAACGTGAAACCAAAACACAGTTGCAGCCTCTTTATTTGTAAAGAGACAAAATACAAACTTGTGCTAAGTGCAATGACAAGTGCTATAAATAAGCAGACACAAACAAAGCGTGGCATTAAAAGTGCTGATCTACCACAGGAGTCAGAAAAGGTATGTCGAGACGTTCGAAAGATCACTCAGAAGATATTCATCTAGGATTATTGAGAAATATGAAGACTCTGTTTGATGTGCCTCAGGCCTCTCACACCCATAAAAGACAAAAAAGTTGATATCGTTATTTTCTGAGGGTGCCTAAGTGTTGAAAAGATAAGTATCAAATAAAGAACTGTTTGCAGAAAGCCGAAGAGTGCTGGTGCCTTTTATGAAATCATGACGGAAGTTTAGTGCAGCCGAAGAAACTTGTGTGCGAAGCAGCCACCACCTCAACCAGTTTTGTTCAGCCCAAGAAAGGGATGTGGGGGCAATGAAGAGTAATTTTTGGGGGAAGCTACCGACCTATCGCCTTTTCTGAGCTCCTGATGGTGCATGCCGTCGAACGAAGCCCAGGCCGTGTTGCGCGCGTCAGGGTTCAGGCAGATCTGCGGCACACAGCGAACAGTCAGCGGTCAGATGTCAGCGGTCAGCGCGACTGGCAGCGGTCAGCGCTATTCACAGCCGGGGTCAAGGTGCGTGCTATTCACAGCAGCTCGGGTGATCATGGGTCACACCTGTCTCCCTTCAGCAGCTCCTCACTGCGGCGACCGTCGAAGGACACCCAGGCAGTGTTACGACTCTCCTGGCTGACCATTATCTGACCGAGGTCAGCCGGCGGGTCAGGTCAGGGTATGGAGAGATCATATGTGGGAAGCTCGAGACACTTAGGTATGTTTTTGATGGGCACAAAGTTATCAAATGATTCAACCAAATCCAAATCAAAGTTAGATCAAACGGACAGCTCATGCCAATGCGGAAATATCTCGTCTTCATTCAGACATCAACTCTGTCTTTTGCTTTAATAACAGCCATGAAAAGCATAGAACATTCCAAATGGACCGTATCCCTATGTGAATATTGTCACATTACACAACTCAATAAATTGGTTGGTTCAATTAAGTTTGCGGACGCCATCAGCTGAGAGAAGTTCTCAGTTATTCCCGCTCTGTATCGCGTATCCACTATCCATTCAGTCGGAAACGTTTTCATTGGATATTTCGGTCAATCCTATATGCCTATTCAACACAAATACAACTCAGGGTATATAGAACAACATGCAACTCCCTCCAATCACTTGACACCCTCCCCCTTCCACACTCCGTACCCCTCCCCCATACTGACCTTGAGCTCGACGCCGGCGGGCACGACGATCGGTCGGAAAGAGAGCGAGTGCGGACAGATGGGCGTCACCATGATGGCCGGCACGCTCGGGTGGATCATACTGGCACCGGCGGCCACCGCATACGCCGTGCTACCCGTGGGCGTACTGACGATCAGACCTGGCAGAAGAGGGGATATGTCAGCCGTCAAAGTGCTGATATCCTGATGGGCGTTGATGAGTGGGTGTTGGCGCCTCCCCCGGGCGCACACCCCTGACGCCGCCCCTGGCGGCTATGCCCCGGGGCGACATACTCGGACGGGCGAGAACGGAAGTCGCCTGGAAGTCGCAACTACTAAGCAGCCGCCATGAGTGCGAACATTTGAGTGCGCGCGATTGAATAAACGCGAGTGCGATTGTGACTGGCGTGATCGTGAACTGTGGATAAGATAAGTGAGATCAATACTTGTTTATAAGATGATATTATCAACGCTACCAAGAATAGCTCGGATTGAAAAACGAACAAGTGGATTATGAGCGCCGGCCATATGACAAGGTGGCCAACGGACAGTCGCGAATCTGATTAATGTAATCTCAGACTGTTGGATCTGGTTGAGATATGTCTGGGCCAGCATACCGGTGAGTGTTTTCATTTGTTCTTGGGTTTGTCCCTTCGTCTTTGTCATGCTTTCACTTTGTGCTCAGACGTTGGGTAATTTGAACAAAGGCATAATCTTGGGCTTTAGCTGATGCGGTTTCTTTTGTGAGATGATTGTCTAGACTGTCTAGGGTTGTCATGAAAAGTAATCAAATAGTTCATCGCATGAGCTAGACCTAAATTAAAATGAAAGTGAATCATAAGATAAATGCATCTTGATTTGCTCTCTACAGGTTCAAGGGCGGACTGGTCCGCTCATATGCTTTTTACGCCATGAGCCTAGATGTGCAGCGGAAGCAATCATCGCGCATCGCTTCGGACACTTTCAGGAAGTTATGAGTAGTCCTCATCTTTCTTACAATTTGGTCCGGGCTATTGGATCCCCACATGCATTTGGGACGCTGGTGACTGCACGTTCAACGTCTCGATTACATGAATTCCATTCAATTGATGAAGCGTGAAGACGGCGCCGCCATAGAGATCTTATATACATAGAGATGACACGCCTATGTTAAAGCACTTGATTTCGTGGCGATTCAGTGGGTCTTTTTAAGCAAGTTTTCTGGGGTGCCATGGCCCGTGACTTGCATTTTGTAAGGATTCGGTCAAGGAGATTGTGTTCACATCCGTTTATTTTTAAGTACAGTTTTTCTTTTTTGTTATGCGTTATTATATAAGTGCGTTATTATTGAAATGATATTAGGCATGTTTTAACCTTATGCTCGTATCAGGTACTGCATGTATCATTAACCCTCGCCGTCCGACGGGGGGGGGGGGCGGGTGCCGCCTCCCTATAGGGTTTTTCACGATAGCTCCGAACACGCAGGCGATAGAGAGCTGAAACTTGGCATAGCTGACCTTTGATCCAAGTCGCATCTTGTGACACCAACCGCATTTTCAGGTCAGGTCAGGTCACTGACCTGTGACGTCATATGTGAACCTCTGCACAGTCCTCAGATGTCGCAACTTCGCAACGCCGTCAGTACCAGAGGAACTTTCACAGGGAGATGAAACTTAACAGGATGTTGTATCATCCAGAGGTCTCACAACTCGTACATATGTCTCGGATTTTCCCTAAAAATCACATGAGGTCAGGTCGGCCACGTGACCTCACCATTAGGTATACGTCAATGGGGAAAAATGAAAACTGCTATGTTAGCGCCGAGAACTATCTCAAACTGTCTCCAGCTCATGGAGTCGTGATTTCTTGCACGCCTTGCAAGGTCCGATGCTTCATTTTTGCATTGTTGACATTGCGTGGCGTCATTTATGGTCACTTGGGTCATTGATTAAAGAAAGGGCGGCTTTGAGGCTCATGATTACATATATAACTGCAATGAAAACCGTAAGACGGTTTGACAAAAGTCAGTTTGTCAGTTTGCCCAGCATGTCTTATTTTCTTGGCCCTATTTTTAACATAATTATTAGCATGAGGCTTACGGTTTTCATTGCAGTTATATACTTGGGTCATTAGAGTTTTTCATCAATAACTCCCCATCAAATTGAGTTAGCGAGTCGGGAAAGCCACCAATAAACTCAGGAAGACCTGCCGATTCGAGTAATATGTAACATGACCTCTGTTAACCAGCTTCGTGATCTGGGGGATCTGACCTGCCCTTGACCCGAGGTCAACACCTCAAGTTGACCTCACCCGGACAAAAAGTATACCATTCGACGCGCCTGAGCGAGGCGAACACGATGATGCCAAAATCGCGGCTCTCCGACCGTTTTTTTTTGCGAAGTTATGAAAAACTGAACCCTGGTCCTTGGTCACTTGACCTGACCTCATGAGACCTTAAAATCGGGTACCAGTACTTGCGTCTTGTAACGGCGCACACGTTTGTTTTTTCCGCGACGCTCTAGCTTCATCAGGGGCGAAACGGCGAGGGAAATCGTACCAACCCCCCCCCCCCGGCCGGCGCGTATGTAAAAAACCAATAGGTCCGGCGAGGGTTAATGTGTCATTGAATGGGAACATGCAACATATGTATATTTGAGCTTGCACCGTGCTCAGAAAGGTTCAGAACAGCCGTTTTCACGACGGTTGACCGAAAGCGCCAAACTTGACCAAATCTCAAGGAACCTACCCTGAAAATTTCATGAACCTGACCCAAATGACCTTAGACCTGTAACCTTTTTTTGGGGGAGACCATGTCAGGGGGGCCATAAAACATGCATCGCACAACCCTAGTAAATACTAAAGTTGGTTCATGTGCTGACCCTTGGTGACCTGACCTGTGACCTGACATGGTATTATCAGTGACCTCTAATAGCAACATATATACTAGGCAACGTACGCCCTATTTTTAACGTACGCGAAACATGTTATCTTTGACCTGACCTGTGACGTCATCGGTGACCCCGAGGTCAATGAAATTGGAGTTTCATCGACAAATTTGACAGGGCTATCAAACATCGTTTGAATGTTACGGATCCGTCCAGTAGTTTCGGAGATACGGGAGGGGGCAAAAAATGCCCCCCCCCCCACCGCGCGGAAGGTGGCCGGGAGGTCCACCGCCTGCCGGGTTGATGAGAGCCTGAATGTGAGAGAATGCTTTTAGGCGAGCTTTTAAGGAATTCAATAAAAACACAAAATGAAATCATGCTACAAATTTCATTGCTTACCTACCTCAGGAATGAAATCAGCCAGGAAAGAACAGCAATATTTTTAACCAGTAAAACGCCTTTTGGGGCGACCAACGGAGCGAGCGAGAGGGTGGGCCTTGGACAAGCGAATTTGCAAGGGACACCTCCAACTAACTTGTGCACTGCACCCTACTAACCGGTCCCTAGCGATGTGCCAAATTTGAGCGCAATCGGCCTAGCCGTTCTCGAGATCTGGAAGCGGCACCCTGCACGTGCGCACGTGCAAAATGGGTCACAAGTGACTTTTGCACGGCACCCTACTAACTGGTCCCTAACCATGTACCAAATTTCAGCACAATCGGTTCAGCCGTTCTCGAGATCTGGAATCGACCCCTGCACGTGCGCACGTGCAGCAGCACCCCAACTGTGGCACATGGATATGCATTGCCTAGTGGGTGCCTACCTACCTAGTACCTACACACCAACTTTCAGCGCAATCGGCCAAGTAGTTACCAAGATATTGCAACAATTGCAAAACTGACACCTCTTCGTTTTGCACGTGGCACGTGCATAAGCGGTCACCCACATGCATCGAGAATAGTCCAATACTTGGTAGAAGGAATGAAGCTACTCTAGAAAAATCATCGAATGTGAATCGGTCAAGTGGTTGCTGAGATATAAGCCTCGCAAAAGCGTAACCACGGCCGGCCGGCCGCTCATACTCAGAAATTTCCGTTAATCTACGAAAGACTACGCTTGCTTCGCTCGCTACGTAATAATTTCTTCAGACTAACAATGCCTCAGCCATATTGGCACGCTACTGGCTGAAAATAAGTTGCTTAAAAAGACCCACTGAATCGCCACGATTTTAAGTGCATGTCATCTCTATGTATATAAGATCTCTATGGGCGCCGCGCCCAAGTTTTCTGTAATATTCCGGGCCGATAATTTAGTAGGTATGCCGCAGCGGGCAATGACGACACAGACACGTTTCCCTTACTCTGACGGAGTTGTATAGGCTTGGATCTGACGTGACTCTTTGTTGCTAGTTGCCAGCTGGTTTATAATCGCCTGTGCATAGCAACAAGTATTCCACTAGTTTTCAGCCTCCCATCTTTCTTCAGCCGCTGCGTCACGTGAACAGACCAAGGATTATTCTTGTCCGGCAGGTAGCAAGTCCGGCATTATGCAAACTCAAGAACCCATGTACGGCATAGGTAATAGGTATTGCCGGTATATACATTGCCGTGTTTCTTCGACATGCATGTTATCATCACTGCAAAACCACAAAAATAAGAATGCCTACTTACAAGCATAACACATTGGAGTCGTGGAATTTCGCCTTAGTCCTTATTTTTATTTAGTCTCGTATTATATCCTTACCGTCGCCCTGAACGGAGGTGATTTTCTTTCCGTCCAGGTAGAGGTCGATGTTGCTGAGGTACGGCGACGGACCGCGGTCCACCACAACCTCGTTCAGCACCAGTAGGTTGATGGGAGGCTCCGAGCGTGTGTCCGAGTCCTTCCGTAGGATGATACAGCGCAGTCGGGAGCGCAGCGTCAGAGCCGCGTGACCTGGGGAGGTCAGAGGTCAGGGTGGTCAGTAATTATTTTTGCCATAATTATGTGACACCTCAAAGCTGCTCATTTTGTAGAAAGTTCAGAGGCGGAGCTTCCTACAGTTGGTGGGGCGACTGCCCCACCATCTTGCCATGTTGCCCCACCAATAAGCGTTGTGCCCCACCAACTTAAGCTAGCATTGTGTTTCTAAGGTAAGATATAATAACAATGTAAATGATTATCTTTGTAATTGGCTCGCTGAAATTGAAAGTGGACCACTACTTCTTTTTTTCTTGCGGGAGACTTACCCTCAAGAACGGAGTCGACTTGCTCCTGGAAGTTGTCAAACTTGAACGGAGTGAGGAATCCCAGAGATCCGAGATGGAAAGCCATCACAGGTGGTACAGATTGCTGAAAAAAGACGGTATATTGTTGACTGAGTAAGAACGATAAAATGATATGTGGCGGATTGCTTGGATTGACAAGAGGCGACATTGCTGACATACGACCTTAGCATACAATCTTATTGAAGCTTTGCAGCGGTATGAGAACAGTCATAGATAACATGAATCATGGAAAACATGATTCATGTAATCTATGGTAGTTTTTTTTTTTCAATCCCAGCAGCTTTCTCGGCCCATAATACCTGGAACAGTGAGCTGGCATAGAGCAGTGTGCCGTCCCCGCCCAAACAGATGATGAAGTCGATCTTGTCCGTAAGGTCATCCTGTCCGTCCCTGAACGTCTGAACCTTCTGGTGGCTGGTGGCCGCCCACTGAGGGTTGTTCTTGAGCAGCGGGTCGTCTACCGTCGAGTTCTCCACGAACACAATCATTTTCTTCTCCTGTGTGTAAAAAAGACCAGTCATTACACAGCTGACCAAGAGTTGGGTTCATGTTTGCAAGAAACCGGTCGACCCATGAAGGCTAAGTTTCGTTATTTGTCATTTTTCAACCTTCATTACGCAAGCAGCACTTAAACCTTATCTTACTAATCCAAAACCAGTTTGTAATCACCACTATCATTCTGACGTCAATTTGGCATGGTCCTAATTCGTGATTGTTTGACACAGCCGACTCCGTCTGCCACGGTACATACGACGGTGCTCCTTTTCGCCACTCACGTCAGCTAGCCAGTTGACTAGCTGCATGAAGGGCGGCAGAACGGTGGGGTCGCGGACCTTCTTGATGACCAGCACGGCCATGGGCGCCTTGTACCAGGTCAGACGCTGGCTGGCAGGGTCCTGGATTGTCCTGTGGGAAACAAAAACAAGGGGAAACGGTCAGCAAATGGATACATCTTGGGCGGGAGTTCCAATTCGGTTGAACCTTAAAATATGTTGAAAGGGCAATATGCGAGCTACCGCAATTCTATCTCGGCGCGCAGCAAGGCGATGTGCAGCTGATTGCTGTAAGCAGGATTGTTACCTCTGCCAAAGTAGATTTTATCGTTAAGCTTATCTTGCTTTTGCTTTATTTGATAGTTAATACAGTAATCGTGATTTTGTCGTGCAATCCCACGACTGTTACATAATGATCCTGCTTTTATACACTCCGATGCCCAAATGATTATCCCAATTCTTGAGAATCCGGCATCGTAATGGACATCGATGTCTAACTTTAATGTCGGTAGACGAATTCCGATACGCTCCCGGCACCGATATCGGACTATATACGGGAAGGCGAGTGAGTGGGAGGGCCTGATATCGATACCGGGTTTATTTAGATTGACGGGCGACTACTATTAGATCACGCACAAGGAAGTCAATAATCGTATCTTGCCCACCCGGAGATTGGAGACGATCCTTATTTAGTCTTCGGAGAAGCTTAAATAGTTACACACGTGCTACGAGGAGACGAAAATAACTTTCAGCGTTACATTCGCCAATAATCATGCATATGATATTTTATTAACCAGTATAGCGCCTTTTGGGGCGACTAACGGAGCGAGCGAGGGGGTGAGTCTTGCACGTGCGAAATTTCGAGGGGGTACCTCCAACTGACTTGTGCACGGCACCCTACTGACCGGTTTCTAGCGATGTGCCAAATTTGAGCACAATCGGCCCAGCCGTTCTCGAGATCTGGGAGCGGCACCCTGCACGTGCGCACGTGCAAAATGGGTCCCAACTGACTTGTGCACGGCACCCTACTAACTGGTCCCTAACCGTGTACCAAATTTGAGCGCTATTGGTCCAGCCGTTCTCGAGATCTGGAAACGACCCCTGCACGTGCGCACGTGCAGCAGCACCCTAACTCTGGCACATGGATATGCAGTGCCTAGTGGATGCCTACCTACATGCCAACTTTCAGCGTAATCGGCCAAGTAGTTACCGAGATATTGCAACAATTACAAAGCTGACACCTCTTCGTTTTGCACGTGGCACGTGCATAAGGGGTCACCCACATGCATCGGGAACAGTCCAATACTTTGTAGAAGGAATGAAGCTACCCTACAAAAATTACCGCGTGTAAATCGGTCAAGTGGTTGCTGAGATATAAGCCTCGCAAAAGCGTCCGCACGGCCGGCCGGCCAACCGCTCATACTCAGAAATTTCTGTTAATCTAAGGAAAGACTACGCTCGCTTCGCTCGCTCCGTAATCATTTTTGCTTGCATTCATTCATCGTTCCTCACAGTGATGAAACTTACGGAACTGTGCAATGAATAATGGTTCTGTTGTGAGTTTCACGCACGCACGTTTTGCAATGAAAATCACAAGGTGCTCGCATCAACTTTCTTAACCCGCGCCCTGGTGGGGTCTGTTTATAACGCGACCTGGGGGGGGGCTGGGGGGGGGCTATTTTTTGCCCCCCCTCGTGGGGGGGGGGCTATTTTTTGCCCCCCCTCGTATCTCCGAAACTACTGGACGGATCCAAAAAATTCAAACGGCGTTCGAAAGGCCTGTCAAATTTGTCGAGGGAAACCAAATTTTATTGACCTCGGGGTCACCGATGACGTCACAGGTCAGGTCAAAGATGAAATGTTTCACCGTTCACGGGTCTTCTAGGGAGTGCGGCAGTGCGCTATAACACCGAGGAAAACGCATTTTGTCGGGAATCAGCGATAGGGCGTCAGTTGCCTAGTAGATATGTTGCTGTTAGAGGTCACTGGTCATACCAGGTCAGGTCACAGGTCAGGTCACCAAAGGTCACCAAGGGTCACCACATGAACCCAACTTTACTAAGGTTATGCGATGCATGTTTTATGGCCAGTTTTTCATTTCCAACTCAATGGTGTTGGTTATAAGACCATCAGGTACGGTTTAGGTCACTTTCTGGTGGAGGTCAGGTCAAGGTCAGGTCAAAAAAGGTCAAATTTCAAAGTTGATATTTTTGCATAAAATGGGTATTGATTCGATGCAGCTCATCACGGGGAGTCTAATGGTGGTCTTTGTTTTGCGCTACGAGGTCTAGAATTGCTGAAAATTGAGTTTGAAAATTTGACGTCATCAATTTTGAACAGTTTTTTCGCTATAACTTAGCCAAAAAAAGAGGTATCGATCTCAAATTTGGTATGTAGATAGTAGACGGTAAGGACTACCACATATATTCCGGTTTTTTCGAAATTCAAAAAACTTTTTGGATTTTTTTGGCTATTATATTCAAAAAATCTATTTTTTGATTTTTGGGGGTCAAAATCCAAAAATTTCAAAAATCCGAGATAGCAGTTTTGTAGCCCTGTCCATTCTACAGCTTTTATGTTTGTATCATTTTTCTGTATTCACAAAGCTATAGGCCTGACAGCTCTTCCCGCGAAACCCTTTTTTGGGTCGAAAACGGCAGAACATGACGTCACTCTGACGTCATTTCCGGCCAACCTATCATAGCCTTTGGAAAGATTTTTGGTCACAATGTGTAAAATTGATGTCCGGGAGGGTACTGAAAGTTTGGTGACGATCGGCGCAGTGGTTCTGGAGATATATCGAAAAGTCTGGAGGGGGGGGGGGCAAAAAATAGCCCCCCCACCAGGTCGCGGGTTAACCACTGTGTTGCAGACAGTACAACAGCACAGTTTATAAGCAAACAGCTGTGGTGCAACGAAATTCCAAATTATTCAGATACATGCGACACATTGTGATGTTTCAAGTAAAAAAGAAAAAGGAAAAGAAATCAGGCAAGGAATGCGTTTAAATATATTTGCGAGAAAGATTAATGGATGTTGTTTGATAGTTTCATACTGTGATAGAAGGTGCTCAACAGGGGATATCCTTGCTCCGCTTAATCATTTATGATACAAATTGGCTATCTTGTTTTGCATTCTTTCGTCGCTTAAATTTTCCGTTTGTTTCTTAGCGACTGAGATGATCATCAAAGAAGGCTGAAAATAAGTGTAAACGTATAATGCCGGTGAAGTAACGCATCTAAACAAAAATCATCAAATTTTTCACTCCCAAAGTCATCCATCCATCCGTCCACCGAAAGTACAACCGATCGCCACGTTGCTGTGCGGTGCGGTGCAGTGCAGGTCACCACCACAGACGGCTGGAGGTTGGTACTCAGCTGTTCCTCTGGAGGCAGCCAGGGCAGCTGGAGACGTCCCTCTGCCGCGGGTCCCGTTACCGCTCTGTAGCTGCGGGTCTCCGCTGAGTCGCTGTCCCTCTCCACTGAGCCGCCGCTGTCCCTCGCCACTGAGCCGCTTTCCCTCGCCACCGCGCCGCTGTCCCTCTCTGAGCCGCCGTTGTCCCTTGCCACTGAGCCGCCGCTGTCCCTTGCCACTGAGCCGCTGTCCCTCTCTGAGCCGCTGTCCCTCGCCACTGAGCCGCTGTCCTTCGCCACTGAGCCGCTGTCCCTCGCCACTGAGCCGCCGTCCCTCTCTGAGCCGCTGTCCCCTTCCCGTCTGCCAGCGGGGATGCTCAGCAGTGCCGGCCGCGGCGGCTCCGTCAGCTCATGGGAGACGAACCCGTTCGAGACTCCCTCGGCCGGCCTAGTGTTGACGGGTTGAGGAGTGGGGTGGACGCTGGCACTCCTCCGCCTCCCCCTGCTGAATACTGACAGCAGACGTGGCAGGCGGACACAGGCACAAAACGAGCCACATCCTGTGGTTGGCGCCTCCTTGTCCGCGTCATCCTTCGGACCAGAGACTAGGCGTTCGGTTGGCGCTGATGGAGGCTTCTGGTGACCGTTGAGGGTCGTCAGCCCGTTCGTGCTCGCATTCGGGGTGGGACCACCACCGATGATGAATCGTTGAGCTCCGATCGGAGGAAGACGAAGATCTCTGGGATCAGACCAGAATTGCTCCCCGGAAGCTGAGGAGCTCTCAGACCCTGCTGGAAAGATCGGAGAACTTTCAGGCCCTGCTGGAAAGATGGGGGAACTTTCAGGCCCTGCTGGAAAGATTGGGATAACCTCAGATTTTGCTGTACCTAGAGGGCTAGAGGTCGAAACACTCAAACGCTTCTAAGTGTCTCAATTATATTTGGACGATCCCACGGAAAATCTCGAACTGTCGTAAGGTTTGTCCTAGAGATTGGGACACTCATACATCCAGGTCATGCATCACCCCGACTCGAGCAGTGCTGGATAGATTGTAAAAAGAAAACAGTTGTTATACAACCTTTTTGCACAATATTTTTGCGAATGCTGTTTGATTCCCGCATCTCCAGGGAAAATTATTGTGGTTATTATGCGGTAGGTCGTGTTGTTGTTCCATTTTGTCATGTTTTCACCACTCGCTAGCTCAATATCCTGTCCTTGACAGTGTTTTGTTGATGTGAGCCGTAAACGGCAAACGCTGAAGCCGAAGCCGAGTCAGGTCGTGACGCAATTGATTACTGCACTCAGCCTTGGGTGCCGTATTTAGCGTATGATGTTTGCCATCATGATTTATGAAGATAATTTTTTGTCTTTCCCGGTCGCTATGAAATTAGCAAACATCAGAAAAGGCCAGATGGCTGATTGACCTCCACGATATGGCGCTTTTTTAACAACCGTTTTTATCCATCCAGATCATTATGCCCATGCATTGAGCATGATATGGATGCATCGCTCATTCTTGTGCCACTCTGCTTCTTATGCATTATTGTTCGAATATCAGAATATAAATGCAATAATACTATGGTTGCAACAGATTTATTGTAAGGCTTTGTTGTCAAGTCAGTAGCAATACGTTTCAAGCTTTTCGTACAGTATCACGTGACCTTGTGGACCCTTTGCTACAAACTTAGGCATTTCGACACAGTTTACAGAATACTGGATGAGTGCGAAGACTTAAAATAATAGCGTTCTCTCATTCAATTCACTTCAAAATACAAAGATGCTAATAAGCGAAACAGCTCACCCCCTCTTCGTCAACCTTACTATTTAAAACTCAGATGATCCGACGACCGGACGCGCTTTAACCCTTTTCCGCCGAGCACCGCTGCGTTACCTGCGGAAGCTGACATTCCACGGCAGTGCCTGCCGCCGGCAGGATGCGGTCAGCTCTCGGGGCGAGACAGGGCACGTCAGGCCGTTCGTCGAGCCGGGGATGCGCGGTGTGGGGCCGCCGTCCAGCAGCTCCGAAGTCTGATCAGAGAGCACCAGCATTGCTTCTTGATGACCAGTGCCAGAGGAAGTCACGGTGGTGGTTATCGCTTGTTTAGGTTTGACTTCCGACGCCGTTTGACCGACGTTCAGTTCTCTGGTCTGTATTTCTTCCAAGCACAGGCGAGTGGCTCTTCGTTCTGTCTTCTTTCCACCCCTCGTTTCCGGCCGGTCTGTGTGAACTGTTCCTCAGCTGACCCCGTCAGGGCACCTTGACCTGACCAGCCGCCTCTTCGCCCCACACTGACCTGCTACCACTGACCACTACTGGCCACCACCTCCCTTATATCGTCGCGCGCATGTGACTCAGTACCGACTCTCCCCCCCCCCCCCCGACCAACCATCGACCCATGGTGACCCTCGCCATCACAAATGCCGGGTCCACGTCTCACGACGGACATATATCGTGTGTGCCACGGTGACCGGCTGCAGTCAATGATTTGTGTAGGTCGATCGGAATGGGCGGAGATTGTGTCTCTTCGTTCGATGGGGGCAATTCTGGAAAAGTGTTTCATACGGGTTGTCATTTGTAAATTTGAATTATTTTCCGTTGGGTTATATAATTTGAATGAATTTGGCTTTAAGCTCGACATTTGTAAGAAAGACTTTTCAGAATTATACAAGAACATTTAGATTCGAAGTGGAAGTGCAGTGCAATGATCCAATGTAATAGGCAGAATTATACCGCCTGCCTTGTTCAATTTATTCCACTCCATCAGAGCCAGAATCTGTAATACCTCGAACCTCGCAAGACTGACATAATCCTCCATCAAACATTCAGCAGTCAGCACCCACTTCGTTATACAACCATAACTCTTCCTTTTGACGGTGCTCTGCACAGGTGATGCACCTGTTCTTTATCTTCCTGCACCCATCGTGACCGACTCTGAGAACTGACCTTCCGTCGGATATAATGGAGCATCAATCTCTCTGACAACCGCCACCTCGTCGGCTCGTTTGCGGGTGATCCCGTGCCATTCTGACCCTGACCCATTTGACCGAGATTTACCGGCTGTGCTGGAGGGGGGGGGGGGGGGCGGGCTCGCCGTGCACACGGTGATTGGAATCGAGGAGGAACTATTCAGGCTCGGGCTGCCGGGTAGGATAGCGGGTTTACGAGACCGGATAGAGGGGGCACGAGTGATGTTCACAAGCGGTGATACTACAGCCGGGGAAGACATTATGCTTGGTAATCCAATCCGTAATAAATTGTGTGTAACATATATGCAGTTTTCCAATGTTTAATTGATAGAATGGTTAGTGGCCATACACTCTGATAAATAGGCACTTTTGAAACGTATCACTATTATAGTTTGTTACTCGAACATTATGAGATTGCTTTTGCATCTACATGGATGCCCTCATTTTGCAAAAAGTCGCTCTGGTCTTCGGTTCCCACGTTCACGATATGTAGCTCCATATGCGGAGACGATGGCCAATGAATGCACAAAGGTCCCCGCACGCGGCAAGGTGGTGCAACGGTACGGTAGCACCGAGCCCGCTCGATATTGGCGCTTCTGGGAACGGGGGTGGTCCAGCCAGCGCGTGTTACCGGCCACGGTGAATGGCAAGGTCGCCATAAAAAATGTGTTCGCCGAAACATGACGAGTTTTTGAGAATCTAGCGAACAAGGAATACATAATGTAGTAAACACGATGAACTACGAACTCTTCTAAACTCCTGTTACCAACAAATAGGTTACAGACTCAGACTGTCTTCAGCTGAGGTTTGAAGGACATTTCAGGTGTAATTCGGACGGGACGCTATAGGACTATAGGTGCATGCGCAGTGCGCACACCTGTTGAAGGGATGCAGATATTATTGATTCGCGTAACGGAATGATAGTGGATTTGTATTGATTTTTGTATTGATGACATTATAAAAAAAATCATTGCGCTAGTTAGAAAACGCTACAAACATGTAAAGTTTCATTGAAAGTCCAGCCATGCATTATTAGAAGTGTGCGGTAGCCTCATCGTCCAAAGCAGACGCTGTAGTGCATTGTCATGGAAGGTATGAATGGGCCGCTACAGAACTAAAAGTAATGTCAACAAACAACAGTAAGTGGGGAAGGAACAATGCGGGGAGGTCGTTGACCCAATACAGTTCCAGTGATTAATATCGTGGAGACATGCCACGAGTAACTTTTTTGTCATTGATGACAAAATGGTGTGGATGCAAGACGTGCTATGAATTTACGTTTGGCAAGACGAATGGCAAACGTTCAAATAAAACATTTAGTGCAAAATTTAAGAAGAAAAAACAGATTTTTTATCGATGGCAACCTATGACGTTTTGAATTTTGAGCAATATTAAAATTACCACATGTATCGAGTGGGCTGTCGCACCACCATACCTACCTAACACCCCGTAACGTTTCGCCACCCATCGCGACAACGGGTGTCTGGGTATGGTGACACTATGCATCGATTGCCCTTGCCCATAGTTTGCCTGGGCATCGAAGCTGTGCCTGGTAGCGACGACAAGGGACGGCCGGGTGCAGGCGACACAAGCTCCATATACAGGTAATGTCTTGCACATGTGTTCTAGCTGGCACGATATGATGCAATAGTTCAGTGTACCTACCTGAGGTGATCAAGATGCACGGAACGTGTTTTATCTATATGTATCGGGATTTTACAGGGATGGCGTTGTTGCCTTGCGTGTTCAAGAACAATTACCAAATGTTATAATTAGAATTTCTGTTCAGCATAAACACTTCTAAAGATGGTGGGATATCCACTTTGGTGGGGTACGCACGGCTTTTCTTTTTAATCGACTTAGTGCTAAAACGTTTGATCATAGCTTGCACCAAAATCACCACCAAATATCTGCAGAGATTTACGTCCAGCCCCACAGCCCATATCGCACCATCATAAGCCATCTTCCCAGGGTGAACTTGGCCTGATCCCGTCCCGTCCCGTTGGGAACCCGGTGGTTGCAGCGGCAGTGCCGAGGGGTCAGGGGTGAACCGGCGCCTCATGTACTCACATGACCATGGCCGAGTTCTTCATGATGCGTCCGCATGGTCCGAACTGCTGGATCGGGCTGGGGGCGTTCAGCGAGCGCGTCCGTCTGGAAAAGAACGAGAGAAATAGAGTGTTAGCTAAGGCGCACTGGCCTCCCGTATAATGACATAGGATACAATACCGAGACATTTTAAGTATACGGGCTCCGGCAAGTTTACCGTCATTGCTTTCGCTGCTTTATTGGCTATTATTCTGTCAGGGCGTCCCAACAAGCTCATGATCTTATGATCATGAGCTTGGATCATGAGCTTGTTTTCCTTTCTTCATGAGACATGTGCGCAGCCGGTCAGGATTATGAAATGTGATAAATATATGTTTGATGATATTTGCACGAAGATGCTTAATAGTAAAACATTTTTTATGATCTGAGAGAAGTAAAATGGTTTATGTGTCAGGTTTCGACAACTTTGTCACTAGCCTGTCTAATGACAATGCTGTCGGAACGGAAGCCCGGTTATTTTTTTTTTTTGGCAATTGACATTGCAAAAGACAACAATTTTAGCATATATGCATTATTGACTTTTTAAATTAACTACTAGCAATCAGGAGTGCAGTCATGCAAACTTTCCCAAATACACTAGTTAGTAGTTACCATACAGACCACAAATACACGCGTCACTGATTTGTAGCTGCAGGAAGTCATCTATCCGCGTCAATATAAATCTACGATTAAATGGATTGCTACTGGCTAGAAAGTAACATAGTTAACCCTCGCATGTGTAGGGGGGGGGGGTCGGATGGACCCCCCCCCATGGTTTTTCGCGAATAACTCGCGTAAAAAGCGGCCGATCGCGACGAAACTTTCAGTACCTTCGCATTGATCAATTTTACACCTACCCTTAAAATTTCATGACCCTGACCCAAATGACCTTTGACCTGTGACCTCTTTTCCGAGACCATGTTTGGCCGGAATCGCGATTTCGCGTAATGTCGGCTTGCACTAGCCGCGTGTTTGCAAGCTTTTCGTGGTTTCAAACGTTCCAACATGTGATTTGATGTTACTGCCGTGTGTGTCAAGGTCACCTGAAGGTCAGGTCAGGTCATTGACCTTTGGTGACCTCGGGTGACCTCGGGTCACTTTTTCGAGTTGTACATGTTTCTAGGCTAGTTTTTGGAGCTGAATTCGAATTTAGCAACCATTTGAACATTTACGAAGTAGTTTTGGTGACTTCGTAACATGTTACGAAGCTGTCAGAGGCGGTTGACACGTAGGGTAGCCTGGGGCAAGACGCCCCAGATAATTTATTTTGCTACATAAATTTTGTCCCACATCACCTGGAAGGCCAAATTTGTGCTCAATGCGTTCTTTGGACATTTTACTTTAAATTGCACCGCTCAAATTCATTCACTTATGATCGGACTCCAAGCTAGGAAGTGATTTGTGAAGCAACTGCAAATGGGGCATTTTGCCCCAACCCCAGGGCAAAACGCCCCACGGCCTGGGGCAAGTAGCCCTATACTTTAGATTAAAGATTTAACATGGTAGTTGGCTAAATCTTATGTGAGAGGTCCGTTAGACCTCTGGAGGCACGGCACTGAAGTTAGCACATTCCATCCTGTCAGGTGTTCAGCTATGACACTATTGTATGAGCAGGTTTTTCACCTACCTCATAAGACCAAATAATAAATTATTGCAATGCAAATGTTAACAAAATACTTCCTTTGCCATCCAGTTGCTGAGAAAAATACACATAAAGACATAGAAACTTACCGTTCGCCAGCTACCGAACATTAGAAAGTGGGTAGCCCGAACAACACATGAGGTAAAACGCCCCAGGGGCTTTTTGCCCCGCGACCTACTGAGGCGTTTTACCCCATCACGTAGTTCGGTCAGAGAACAACGCCTTGCACTCCAGCAAGACATAATTTAACACGAACCAACCCGGCATGATAAGCGTTAGACAATAGTTGTTCAAAATACATAAAAGTCGTTAACCTGATGTGGACCATAAAAGAACGCCATGATACATAATCTGACAACAAAACATAAAAATCACTCAAAAAACACATTTTTGGCTATATCTCCCGAAAGAGTCATCACAATTTCTTTCCAGTCTGCTCATATAATGATCATGTAGTGCACGTTTTATAGAAGAGATGATGTTTCCCCAGAACTCTGCCAGTTCCGAGAAACATCGGTGAGGCGTTTTACCTCGGCGGGGCGACTTGCCCCGGTCTACCCTACTACGAATACCCGTCACGACGCCTACTGGTTGACCTGACCTGACCTGACCCGACCTGGTCTAAATGCTTCAAGACATCATCTGTGATCAAAACTAACACGATATTCGTGATCAGCACCCCGAAAAACCCCTTAGCAGCCACACTTTACGACTTTCTAACAGGTCCCGATTTTCCCGACTTTGGGTCATTGACCTGACCTGGAAGGTCAATCAATGACCTAGGACCTTAAAATTGGGTATCATCGGCTTCCTCTCGTCACGGGCAACACGCTCGTTTTTTCCGCGAAGCTCTAGCTCGATCAGGGGCCAAACGGCAAGGGGGGGGTCCAACCGACCCCCCCCCACACATTAGAAGCTGTCAAACGCCGCACACATGCGAGGGAAAGCCAGTGCAGTGGAACTAAAATACTTGTGTTTATAAACAAAGTTATTCAGGCAGCTTCAAACACGTCAATTGATTTGTATTATCTTTTGCAAACATGCTCCGCAGTGACACAGCCCTGTTGTCTCTTACATTCGCTGACACCTACCTGAGTGACAAGTGCTCGGCAAACACTGCTGCTAGCGGTGTCTTTGGTCGGAATTTACTCTCGCTATCATGAACCATGTCGCCGTTTGAATGTCCATTTGTCGATGTTCCGTTTCGACTTTTCAGCAGATTCATGGCACTTCCATTCTGGCTCGCTGACCGATGCATAGGTCGCTCCTCATGCCCCAGATGAGTTCCGTTTGTTCCTGTGCCGTTCTCGCCCTCCTTGGCGGCGGCACTCAATGAGTGTCCGCTGTAACTCATGGAGCGGTTCATGTGAGTGTCCGGGTGACCATTGGCACCGTTCAGAGGCCTACGAGCCCGGCACGCTGGACTCAGAGGCATCGGCATCGTGGCGGAAGAATCTGGACTGGATGGGAAGTGGCCTCAGCACAACGAACGAGACACTTTCCTTCCAGATTCTGTAATTATGATTCTTTACTTCTTGGAGCAGCAGGATGGTATCACTCAGTCCTGTCCGTCTCACTTTACACTTTCCCTTTCCGTCCGCGGTGAGGGACCTCCGCCTGGCTCGAGCTGCACTTCACGACTGCAGCGGGGGTTCGGAAGGTCGGACGTCCTCTCCTCTCCTCAGACTGTGCCGACGGCAGCGGCGCGGAGTTAAGCTCCGTCTGAGAGGGGGCACCACTGTCTGCTGCCGCCTGCCCGTTACCTGGGTCGTCTCTGATCAGACTCCTTCGCTGCGCCGGGCAGACTCGGCACGACGCAGCATGACGGCCGGCCACGACGCCATTGGTCGTGCCCGGAGCCGTGCAAGGTCAGGTCAGAGGTCGGCGGCGCGGCGGAGCGGCGCTGGTGCTTCCTTCCGGTCGGGCTGAGATGGCGACGCCGCCGCCGTGCGGAGGGCGACCCTGGGGATATCCCGCCGCGCTCAGCGGTGAGGGGCCACGGAAGCGACCCCTTGCGGGCCCGACTAATGGAGTGGCACACCTTCATGATGTAAGGTGGTGTGTGAGCGATGTTACCTGCCCCAGAGGGGTCACCGGTTCACGGGAAGGAGAGCTGTGAGAGGTCTAGAACAAACAGCTACCGTCCCGACCAGGCCTTGAGGGAGCCATGGGAGAACAAAAGAGATACGTGGATGATTGAGTTCGTAATGAAACCTGCCTCTCTTTTGTTGTTATCGACCTCTGGCCGGTGGCATGCTAGGCTTTCTGATCAAGATTGCGAATATATTATGTGCTGTGGCGCAGTTGGTGCACGGGTCCAAGCTGGCTGCCACCTTGGATCATCACAAAAAAACTTGGCTGGTTAAGTCACTACAATATTGTACGCACTCCATTGGTCAGAATAAACTTTACGCTGAAGAACATGACGTTGGTTTTGTCAACGTGCAGAGGGGAAATTTAGCCCTTATTCCTACACATTATGCTACGTTTCATCTGGTATTCAGGATTTAATTGAAAATAACCTTAAATATTGATCGTTCAAATACCTACATTCTCAGGACTACATGTCAACCACCTGGTGGTATTTTACCGGGGCTTGCAGCAGGTACCTAACTATTGTCACTATCTTTCGCTTTCACCTCTCATTTCACCTCTCTCATCAAATAATCAATGACCCCACCGTATGTTTATTGTTTTGTAAACTATCACTGTAACCTTTACTGATCCCAGGCACCATAAATTAATCATGACTCATGATATGCGACAGCTAATAAGAAAACTTAGTGACTCAGGTTTCTGTCTTGCGTCTTTCCGCGTTCCAAAGCTACTGTACTGAAAATATCGAACGCTGTATGAAATTTTTAAATCCACATTTGGCTAGCTGAGTCTGGGAGCTCCTGCACCAGCCGGTTTCAGATTACACTTTCCGGCAGCTTGACAGTTTTTATGGACCATTTCTGAGCTTGGGGTGGCTATCTAAGCGATCTTATGTTTTGTATAGTAGTCATTGCAAGAAGTAATTTAGCTTTGGGTACTATTTGGTTGCACAATGCACAGCATCATTACAAATACTCTATTATGATGAAATGTTGACTAATATTCACGGTTACAATTTGCTTATATAACCGTAAAAAGTTTTTTTATGCGACACCTTCACATTGCAAGCTGCACATGCTGCTCGACTCGTCTGCAGATGATAGGAGTCACATTCAGTCATCGTCACAGATGAATGAGTACACTTTCGCCCAGCCTCGCTCGTTTAAAGGTTAGAGGAGGGCTTTGTCACAATCCTGCAAAGTTCCCAATCACGTACATAGAAAGGTGTGAAATAACAATATTTTGTTATTTCCCATTTTGTTAAATCATGTAGAAATATGCAAACAAAGTAAGGTCGCATATAGTATGCCTAAAACTATCAGCATGT